TTCTTAGTGTGAAGAACACTTCACTAATTTAAAGAACCTTTTGCACCTTTTGTGCAATGGTAATGTTCTCCACTTTTCAAAATAAAGGTTCCAAAAGCTGGTTTTCGCAGTGACGCTTTAGAAGAACAATTTTTGGTTCCCTAAAGAACCTTTCAGTGAACAGTTCTTAAAAGAACCATTTTTATTGGTGAGAACAACATTTTAATAATCTAAAGAACATTTTTGCACCTTTTGCGCAATGGAAACATTCCACACTCTAAAAAAACAAAGGTTCCAAAAGCGGCTTTTTGCAGCGATGCTATAGAAGAACCAATTTTGGTTCTCCAAAGAACCTTTCAGTTAATTGTTCTTAAAATAACCACTTTTTCTTAGTGTAACAAGCTCTAATATTCTGAAGAACCTTTTGTGCAATGGATACAATCTCCACTTTTAAAAATAAAGTTTCCAATAGCTGGTTTTCACAGTGACGCCTTAGAAGAACCATTTTTGGTTCCCTAAAAGAACCTTTCAGTGAACAGTTCCTACAAGAACCATTTTAATTGGTGAGAACAACATTTTAATAATGTTTTGTGCAATGGATATGTTCCACACTGTAAAAAAATTAAGGTTCCAAAAGCTGCCTTTTGCAGCAATGCCATAGAAGAACCATTTTTGGTTCTCCAAAGAACCTTTCAGTGAACAGTTCCTAAAATAACTAGTTTTTCTTAGTGTAACAAACTCTAATACTCTGAAGAACCTTTTGTGCAATAGAAACGTTCTTCACTTTAAAGAATAAAGGTTCCAATAGCTAGTTTTCACAGTGACGCCTTAGAAGAACCATTTTTATTGGTGAGAACAACATTTTAATAATGTGTGCAATGGAAATGTTCCACACTGTAAAAATCATTTTTGGTTCCCCAAAGAACCTTTCAGTGAACAGTTCCTAAAAGAACCATTTTTGTTGACGAGAACAACATTTTGATAATGGAAACATTTAAAAATAAAGGTTCCAAAAGCGGCTTTTTGTAGCGATGCTATAGAAGAACCATTTTTGGTTCTCCAAAGAACCTTTCAGTAAATTGTTCTTAAAAAAAAACACTTTTTCTTAGCTCTAATATTCTGAAGAACTTTTTGTGCAATGGAAAGGTTCCATGAATGGTTCCTCATGGAACCATCAATGCCTCGACACCTGACAACATCACCAGAGCCACTTCTGCAGTTTCAGAGGCAAAAACCCAGTTGAAAATCTCAGGTCTGCCGACGCACATGAACCTGAACGCTCTGTGATATCAAAGCAATCCACACGTGATTAATAATGATCGATTCTGTGAGATTTCAGATTCTCCTCCCGTATCGCTGATCGTCTGGGAGTCGGAGCGCTCGATTCCTGGAGTCCAAGACCACGGGAAATGAAAGGAGACACAGTCGCTCCTGAGCCAAAGCAAATAAGCAGTGTGAGAAAGTTAGAGTAAGACGCTTTCGCACAGGCACACGCTCCCCCGCCCGTCCCTGCATCCGTCTGCGATCCGCACGAGGCCGGGAACAGGAACAGGAATGGGATGCTGTTATTGGGTCACGTGCAGTGAGAGAGAGGACTGAATTCCTCAAAAGTAGGTCAGTATATTGGAGCATCTGTTTAAGCCATAGCACCGAGCCTTAGAGAAAGTAAACACACAGAAGTATGAGCAGAGCTTTGTCAGTCGGCCTCGAACCTTGCAGCCGACGGGACCCAGAGACACACTGCTGAACAATGATGTTACGACATAAACCCAACGCCGCTCGCAAGCCATTTAAACCCAGTTTATGTGACATATTTACGAGTGAAACGAGAGATTTGGTGTAGGGTGAGACTTTATTTTCACCATGATGAACTGAGTGGATGGTGAAACGTACCTGTGTGAAGGTGGTTAATAAAGCAGCGGCATTATTTTTATATGATTATAGTTTTTATTAATAATGTCAAACATTTACTTAGATCATTTACATTTTTATTTTAATATTAGTTAGATTTTTAGTAAGTTTCTTATGTACTTTTGTCATTTTTATTCATTTATTTTTTATTTCAGATTAATTTTTTATTTATTTCCAGTTGCTTTGACTTATTTCAGACTTATTTTCTAATTTTCATTTAGTTTTAAGATTTTTTATTATTATTTTAATTTATTTTATTTCAGGTATATTTTGATGAACAAAAACTTTTAATAGAAATATTTTTATTTCGTTAGTTTTAATTAACAATAATAACCATCCCTTTAAAGGGATAGTTCACCCAAGAATGAAAATGTGATGTTTATCTGCTTACCCCCTGCAGGGCATCCAAGATGTAGGTGACTTTGTTTCTTCAGTAGAACACGTATGATGATTTTTAAGGAATTTATTTGCAAACTGCAATGGTTCTGATATGCAATGGCAGTGCCAACAAACAAAAATTCAACATATAACAAATACAAATACACATTTCTGTAGCTCAATCAATAGAATGCAGCACTATAAATGCCATTGTCGTGGGTTCAATTCTCAGGGAATAAATGAATCAGAAATCAAAACGTATAGTTTTAATGCAATGTAAGTCTCTCTGGATAAAAGTGTCTGCCAAATGCATAAATGTGACTCTGGAGCACAAAACCAGTCAATTTTTCAAAATTGAGATTTCTACATCATCTGAAAGCTGAATAAATAAGCTTTCCATTGCTGTATGGTTTGTTAGGATCGGACAATATTTGAAAATCTGGAATCTGAGGGTGCAAAAAAATCTAAATATTGAGAAAATCATCTTTAAAGTTGTTCAAATGAAGTTCTTAGCAATGCATATTACTAATCAAACATTAAGTTTTGATGTATTTACGGTAGGACATTTATAAAATATCTTCATGGAACATGATCTTTACTTAATATCCTAATGATTTTTGGCATAAAAGAGAAATGTATAATTGTGACTCATACAGTGTATTGTTGGCTATTGCTACAAATATCCCCCAGCGACTTAACACTGCTTTTGTGCTGCAGGGACACAGATGTGGGGAATATGAAGAAAATCAATCCGTATGAGGAGATAATCACCACATTCAACACCTCACGTAACACGATACAAAGACATCATCATCATCATACTATAACTTTCAGTAGCATTCATTAACAAAGTGTTGTAAATATAATAATGTATACAGTATAATACACTTTACTATAGTATGGTATAGTATTTTTTTAATACTGTGTTGGGAAGGTTACTTTGGAAATGTAACAAGTTACAGATTATTTAAAATGTAATGTAACATTATTAATGTAACTGATTACATACTTTTCTAAAGAATGTTTTTTGAACTGTTAATCATTTTGAAACGGGATTAATCTCACAGTAGAACTCAACACTGATTACTGTCAGAGAATCCTTCATCACTTGAATTAAGATTATAATAATTACATTTTAAAGCACAGACACCACAAAATCAGATCCTTCTGAGGTTAAATACTGATTTAAAACCATTACAAGAAATAGTTTAGTAACTATGATACTGATTTTGATATATGTATAGCTATGACAGAAAACACTGGCATCTAACAATGCTTAAAACAGTTCATCTTACAAAATAAAGCATATACACAAACCTTATTGTGTTATGAATAAGCATGTCTCCTGAAACATTAGTGGCTCATATTTTAGAGCATTCAATGCAATTTGGGAAAGAAATCAAACAAATCTGTATGCATGTGAAAATATTCAGATGTAACCCTTAACATTTTCATAAGTAACTGTAACAGATTGCGGTTACATTTATTTTGTATTTAAATGACGTTACATGTAACTAGTTCCTCCACAACACTGGGTACATGTATCAAATAATACCACGCTACGTCACTGCATTGATGCAGCAGTGCTTCAGTAAGGGATAGAAGTAGGTTTCCCCTTACTGAACACAGAATGAGCTGTTGCATGCTGATGGGTGTTTGCGTCCGCGGTCAGAAGAGGGGAGTGTCCGTCTGCATCCCAGCCCACCGGCGTCCAGCCTGAGACTGATGCAGAACAATGGCACACGGTGGGTGGAGAAACCCGAGCCGCACCCTCCTCTCTGGACCGGACTGAAGCTCTGGTGCCTTCTGTGAATCACAAGCATAATCATCTGTAAGGAATGCAGACTGAAGTCAACATGAAACCGAGGCCATTTACTTTCTTAAGACATGCTCTTGATCTCATCAGTGTGTTCTAAACAAATGTTTTTCTTCATAATCCTTCGTCTAAATGCAATCACTCCAGCTGATGCTTGGTCACACTACACTTTTCATCCCACTGGCCTCCATTCATACGCATTGCAAATGTAATTCATTTCATGCACTGCAAAGTTCAAGTTTGGTGAACTCTGACCGGCGGACTCGTATCATGTGAAGATTCTTGAGTGACTAGAAGAAAAATACATCACAACCTCTTAGCTGAATTTAAAAATAAAAACGAGTTTAAGAGCTTTGCATCGTTACAGTAGACTGTGTATTTTTACATTTTGCATTCACATATGTGTCCCTGCAGCACAGAAGCAGTGTTGAGTCGCTGGGGGATATTTGTAGCAATAGCCAACAATACATTGTATGAGTCACAATTATACATTTCTCTTTTATGCCAAAAATCATTAGGATATTAAGATCATGTTCCATAAAGCTATTTTATAAATGTCCTACCGTAAATATATCAAAACTTAATGTTTGATTAGTAATATGCATTGCTAAGAACTTCATTTGGACAACTTTAAAGATGATTTTCTCAATATTTAGATTTTTTTGCACCCTCAGATTCCAGATTTTCAGATATTGTCCGATCCTAACAAACCATACATCAATGGAAAGATGATTTATTCAGCTTTCAGCTGATGCATACATCTCAATTTCGAAAAATTTACCCTTATGGCTAATTTTGTGCTCCAGGGTCACACATTAATCTCGCAGTGGTTCCAGTGTAACCGCCGCGCTGAATTCGCGCAGGTTCTCGCGAGATCCGAGGCGAGCGAGTGTTTGGATGAGATTTGAGTGGCGCAGCGGAATGAGCGCTGATGCAGTAACGCAGCCGCTGCGCTTTGTGTCGCACCTCAGAGCCGCTTTACGCTCCTTTTCTCACCCTGACAACTTTCCCCAGGCACTTTACCAGCGCACACTCACTGGAGGAGACTTCATCTTCATCTTCTTCATCATCTGCGGGAGGTACAGAAACTTTCTTTCCCTCAGTTTTGTTTTACCTCAGTTTTATTTCATCCTCTGCTCTTGTTTACTTTCCATAAACGCGTACGACTGACGCACCAGAAGCTAGTTTCTTGTTCACTACTTTCGTCAGTTTTGTTATTAATGTGAGCTGTTGGTCTTGCAGCGGGAGCGCGAGCAGAATGAGGCGGCTGCTGGGGCTCGCGGCGGGAATCTCGGCGCTCGCGGCGCTGTGTGTATCAGCGCAGACGCTCGACGCAGACGCAGACGGAGCCGCGGAGCAGCTGAGGGCGAACCGAGCGAAGCGGCGCGGCGGCGGCCAGGACGTGCTGAAGGGGTAACGCCTCTCGCTCTCCATCACTGAAGAACCGCGACATTTACTCTAAACACCGCGCTGAAACGGCCGTTAACAGCCGTTAGGGCGGCTGTGGGAACTTGGTTTCCCGCGCTCCAGAATCCGTTAACTAGCGTTAGCGTCATAACATTAATAACAGTTTAGCTCTCATGGAAGTGCTGTTTTCTTTGGTCTGTGGGGTGTTTGTTTTGCAACATCTTCAAGTCTTTGTGTTCATTAGATGATAATAGCTAATAAAACACAATAATCAAACATTAAAACTTTAAATTATAGGGGGGAAAAAACCTAGGCTGTGCGCTAAAGTCACGGAACCTGTGGTAATCCTGACTTTTCAATCTCAGTTATTTTTTGGGTTTGTGACGGAATAAAACATTAAAAAGGTAGGCCTTTTTATCTCGCGATTCTGACTTTTTTTCCTCACAGTTGCCAGTTTTTAATCTTTTGAAATATAAGTTCAGAATTGTGGAAAATTCAGATTTTGTTTTTGTCACGTGGCAGAAACAGGCTTCCATACAAACCGAACCAGCACCAAAATATAGAAATAGAAATGAAAACGGAGAAAAAAGCGTAAACGATAAACTTTAAGAAATCAGCACAGCATGGAGTTACACGTTTTCTTTTTCTCTCATAGTTATGCTCTTTTCTTTCATTTTTTCCTACACTGAAAATAAAAAAAATGATGATGAAACGACTTCAACTCAAAAAAGTTTTAGTAAATTTCACAAATAACTAGATAGTAAAGTGTGACTTTGATGTTGGCTTGAGAGCGCTGGCTTAAATATATAAAACATAGTTTAATAAGCTGTAAATTTAAGAGTGAAATTTAAAAAGCGTGAGGTTTCAGTGTTTTAAAGCCATGCAATCAATCTGTAAGATAGATAAATAGATAGATAATGACAGGTTGAGTTAGATGTGACATTTTGGAGTACCTGTAGAAAGACAATATATACAACATATTCAAGTAATCGGTTTTATTTACAACTACATTTCTGTTTACAGTGCATGTTATGTATGGAGAGTTTCACACGTGAGGTTTAAATGTGAATTTGACCCCGGTTAAGTTTTGCCGAACTCTTCCCGCAGGCCGAATGTGTGCGGATCCCGTCATCACGCGTACTGCTGTCCCGGATGGAAGACCTTGACCGGAGGGAACCAGTGCATCGTCCGTAAGTCCTCATCAGCGTCCCGTTTGTTGTGTTCTGCTCCAGCTATCAGAAACACGGTTTACAGAGGAGGGCGGGGCTGTGCGAGCTCGGCGCTGGACGATTGTTTTTCGCTCTCGTCCTGTAAATGAATAGATTGCGGCGCTCAGGAAGGCTGTGCTGGTGTTGTGTGACTCTCAGGCGCGGCGCGGTGGGGGGTGTTGTTTACATGTGAAGGTCAGGCGCGCTAATGGAGCTCGGCCACACTGGCCCAGAGTCTCTCGGACCTCCTGACCTCTCGCTGACCGCACTTAACAAGAACATTCCGGTAATAATCAAGAGTTTGGACGCATTCCAGTTACATGTGCATCGTGTAATGATGGCATTAATCCGATTAAGCCGATATTTCCTGAATAAGACAGCTGGCATATGCCTCGATGAACTGCAAGACGGTCTCATGGAAAGACCTGGAGCGGACCAGACCTGAATCTGCAGGCTTTGATTTTCTGGGATGGATTTAAACAGTTAGTTAGTTAGTATGCATATACAGTTCAAACACTCACTGATGCTCCTGAAGGAAAGACGATGCATTAACAGAAGCAAGATGTGTCCCTAAAAGTCATATTTCTAAATGTAGTACCGCCCTTCAGAAGGTACAGAAGATGTTTCACGGAAGACGAAATAAGTTCAATTTACCCTGATCTTCAAATTCAAAAGGTTTTCACCCCTCGGTGAAATGCACGTTTTTTTCCTTCTGGAGCATCAGCGAGCATTTGAACCTATTGTAATAGTTGCATACGAGTCCCTCGGTTGTCCTCAGAGTGAAAAGATGGATCTTAAAATCATACAGTCATTGTTGGAAAGGGTTCAAATACACAAAAATGCTGCAAAACCACAGAATTTGTGGGAGCTGAGGGGTTTTTCTGAAGAACAGCAGCAGTTTAACTGTCCAGGACAAACAAGGGACTCATGAACAACCATCACTAAACACAAAAACACACAGCTGTGGATCATTCAGCTAACAACACGGTATTAAGAGTAACTTTTGAACGGGGTCATTTCTACATTTTTATAAACTCAACTCTTATTTTCTCTTGTGGACTATATATGAACATCTTTTACGTTAAATATCTTATTCAGGTCAGTACTAAATAAACAATAACATGCATTTGGTACGATTGCTCTTATTTTGGCTAACATTTCGCAGATTCTGCAAGGTGTATGTAAACTGGTTTCAGCTGTAAGAAACAGCAAGGCAAGAGATGTGTAGAACGTTCAGAATATCACCTGTACCTGCATGTTTATTGATGTCTGTGAAGGTCAAGCAATCAATAGATGTCATCAGTCATTGTTTTTGCTGTTCTCAGCTATTTGTCGCAGCCCCTGCGGAGACGGCTTCTGCTCCAGACCCAACATGTGCACCTGTCCGAGCGGCCAGATCGCTCCCACCTGTGGATCCAAATCAGGTAATTCAGTGCGTCTGCCACTCCTCTTCACACAGCTGGAGTCAGAGGAGATGAAAGTCACATGATGCTTATGTTTGATCACTTAATTTGATTTCAACGCTTGATCTACTTCCTGTTTCCTGTCATGACATCATTCTCAGGAGTGTTTTGATCGATCCAAGCCAGCTTTTATTTCTGACATGTTTAATGGTCGTGTGTAGATGGTAACCTTCATTCTGTCAGGTATCTTTGCACTGATACAGAGGTTAATAGCTGATGTAATGCGGGATCCGTAGGTCAGAGTGACAGATGCCTGATATACATGCCTTAAAATGTAGTTTATTAATTTATTTAATTTAATTACTTGATCAATCTTCAGTTTTCAGTTATTTTTTATTGCTTATGTAATAATCATATTTTGCATTTAACAAATGCATTAAAAGCACACTTTATTATAGTTTTGATGCATGCGGTTTTAAAATGCTCGTTATAACTATTTTTACACTTATGATGCATGCATTTTTAAAACGTTTTCTTTTTCATGACTATTTTTATACTTATGTTTCATGCATTTTTAGAATGTTTTCTATTTTATGACTATCTTTTGTAATTATTAAGCATGCATTTTTAAAATGTTTTCTTTTTTATGACTATCTTTTGTAATTATTAAGCATGCATTTTTAGAATGTTTTCTTTTTTATGACTATCTTGTAATTATTAAGCATGCATTTTTAGAATGTTTTCTATTTTATGACTATTTTTTATTGTTATGATGCATGCATTTTTAAAATGTTTTCTTTTTTATGACTATTTTTTATTGTTATGATGCATGCATTTTTAAAATGTTTTCTTTTTTATGACTTTTTTTTATTGTTATGATGCATGCATTTTTAAAATGTTTTCTTTTTTATTACTTTTTTATTCTTATGATGCATGCATTTTTAAAATGTTTTCTATTTTATGACTTTTTTCTTATGTTTCATGCATTTTTAGAATGTTTTCTTTTTTATGACTATCTTTTGTAATTATTAAGCATGCATTTTTAAAATGTTTTCTTTTTTATGACTATTTTTTATTGTTATGATGCATGCATTTTTAAAATGTTTTCTTTTTTATGACTATTTTTTATTGTTATGATGCATGCATTTTTAAAATGTTTTCTTTTTTATGACTATTTTTTATTGTTATGATGCATGCATTTTTAAAATGTTTTCTTTTTTATGACTATTTTTTATTGTTATGATGCATGCATTTTTAAAATGTTTTCTTTTTTATGACTTTTTTTTATTGTTATGATGCATGCATTTTTAAAATGTTTTCTTTTTTATGACTATCTTTTGTAATTATGATGCATGCATTTTTAAAATGTTTTCTTTTTTATGACTATTTTTTATTGTTATGATGCATGCATTTTTAAAATGTTTTCTTTTTTATGACTATTTTTTATTGTTATGATGCATGCATTTTTAAAATGTTTTCTTTTTATGACTATTTTTTGTAATTATTAAGCATGCATTTTTAAAATGTTTTCTTTTTTATTACTTTTTTATTCTTATGATGCATGCATTTTTTAAATGTTTTCTATTTTATGAAATCTTTTGTAATAACTATGCATGCATTTTTTAAATGTATTTTTTATGACTATTTAAAAAAATTATGTATAGTACTTTGAATTACCATTGTGTATAAAATGTGCTATATTACGGTAATAAACCTTCCTTTTGACAGTGAATAAGATCTGAATTGAACAGATTCGCATTCATTTCATAATATATTTTTTTTCATAAGAATATTTTAAATCAAACATTGTGCATGACTGTTTTTTGGAGTAGAATGATGCACCGATGTAGGATGCAGCTATCAGCAAATGATCTCAAAATGGACAAATAACGACCCGGCCGATTGCAGCAAATGTAAACCTCGCAAGATTTTTTTACCGAATATGGTTTGGCATCTTAATGTTGAAAGATGGTCATCTGTTTAGGGTGTTGAAAATAATGGTTTAGTGTTCCGATCGTCTCAGATTCTTGTGGTTGTTTTACTGCCGTGATTGTGAATAACAAATATTGTGAATATTAGCTGTGTCTGGATGGGTGTGTGTGATTTGGAGAGTGTCCACAGTCAACAGGCCTCACTAAATCACTGCTGCAGCTCCACGGGGAGGAGATGCTCGTGTGTGTGTGTGTGTGTGCTGTAATTTGGGGACACATTCGTCCCCAGATGTGAGCTCAAGCCTCCTCAAGCCTCCCTTTGTGGGCATCCACAACAGAAACAATGATTCATGCACACAATAATAATGTTTTTGTGCATTTTACTCTAGGGTTCGTGTTGGTCTGTAATTGCCTTGATATTAAAGGGGTCATGAAATGCAGTTTCAGGTTTTCATATTATGTTTCTCTAGGTTTTGTGCACCAAAAAAAGGTCCAATATTAGTAAAAATGTTCACTCTCTGTAAAACACAATGTGTGTTTCCTCTTGCAGAAATGGAAGTAAACACCCACTGCTGTCAATGTTGGGGGTAACACACATTACAAGTAACACAAGCTCTGTAATCAGATTACTAGTAAAGTAAAGCATTACTTTTGAAATGTATATGAACATATCAGAGTTACTATTTAAAATAAGCAACGCAGGTTACTTTATTTTCCCATTTATTGTCCCCAGCTCTCTTGTCCCCGTGTTGAGAGAAATCGGGAGTAAGTGCAGAGGCGCTTCCTTCAGGTTAAGGCTTATTCATTTCTCTTTTGGTGTGAAAGGGCCTTTACAGTTGCCAAAAATTTAACTTTTGGGCTTTTTGTTATTAAAAATAAATAAGCAAGCCCAGCCCAGGTGACAAAAATGAATGCAAAAGTAATGTAATCCATTAAAAAGTTATTAGTGCAATTAATTACTTTTTCATGGAGTAACGCAATATTGTAATGCATTACTTTAAAAAGTAACTTTCCCCAACACTGACTGCTGTGATTGGCTAACTTCATTGCACTGCTTGTTTACATTAGTTAATGCACTGTGAATTAACATGAACTAATAATTAAAAAATTAGAAATAACTGATTTCAAAACATTTTTTTAACTGGTGAAAATACTAGTGTTCTAATCATTTTGGCCACCGCTGAATATGTAAATACCAAGAACATTTAGATTCTCCATTACATTTAAAACAACAGAAGCTAGTGTGTGTGTGGGCAGTATGTTCAGTAAATAACGCGTCTGATGTTTGTCTTCTTCAGTCCAGAACTGTAACATCCGGTGCATGAACGGCGGGTCGTGTGCGGAGGACCAGTGTCTGTGTCAGAAGGGATACTCTGGAGCTCACTGCGGCCAGCGTAAGACTCCCAGAACCCTGCAGCACACACACAGATGCACACGCGGCAGACCGTAACTGTGTCTCTGTCTCCTCCTGTAGCGGTGTGTGAGTCCGGCTGTCTGAACGGAGGCCGATGCGTCGCTCCAAACCGCTGCCTGTGTAACTACGGCTTCACTGGAGCTCAGTGTGAGAGAGGTGAGACACGCCTAGTGTTCGCTTCAAAGATGTGCATGTGATGATTTAGAAAACCACAGACATACACATCAATAATAACTTCTTTTAGCATTCTTTTGGCATTTTGTTTCCTCTTAGAAGCCGGTTGAGGCCTGTTAGTGTGTGTACTTGTTTAAGTGAGTGAGTGAGTGAAGTGACATGTGGCCAAGTATGGTGTCCCATACTTGGAATTAGTGCTCTGCATTTAACCCATCCAAAGTGCACACACACAGCAGTGAACACACACACACCGTGAACACACACCCGGAGCAGTGGGCAGCCATTTATGCTGCGGCGCCCGGGGAGCAGTTGGGGGTTCCACAGTCAACAGGCCTCACTAAATCACTGCTGCAGCTCCACGGGGAGGAGATGCTCGTGTGTGTGTGTGTGTGTGCTGTAATTTGGGGACACATTCGTCCCCAGATGTGAGCTCAAGCCTCCTCAAGCCTCCCTTTGTGGGCATCCACAACAGAAACAATGATTCATGCACACAATAATAATGTTTTTGTGCATTTTACTCTAGGGTTCGTGTTGGTCTGTAATTGCCTTGATATTAAAGGGGTCATGAAATGCAGTTTCAGGTTTTCATATTATGTTTCTCTAGGTTTTGTGCACCAAAAAAAGGTCCAATATTAGTAAAAATGTTCACTCTCTGTAAAACACAATGTGTGTTTCCTCTTGCAGAAATGGAAGTAAACACCCACTGCTGTCAATGTTGGGGGTAACACACATTACAAGTAACACAAGCTCTGTAATCAGATTACTAGTAAAGTAAAGCATTACTTTTGAAATGTATATGAACATATCAGAGTTACTATTTAAAATAAGCAACGCAGGTTACTTTATTTTCCCATTTATTGTCCCCAGCTCTCTTGTCCCCGTGTTGAGAGAAATCGGGAGTAAGTGCAGAGGCGCTTCCTTCAGGTTAAGGCTTATTCATTTCTCTTTTGGTGTGAAAGGGCCTTTACAGTTGCCAAAAATTTAACTTTTGGGCTTTTTGTTATTAAAAATAAATAAGCAAGCCCAGCCCAGGTGACAAAAATGAATGCAAAAGTAATGTAATCCATTAAAAAGTTATTAGTGCAATTAATTACTTTTTCATGGAGTAACGCAATATTGTAATGCATTACTTTAAAAAGTAACTTTCCCCAACACTGACTGCTGTGATTGGCTAACTTCATTGCACTGCTTGTTTACATTAGTTAATGCACTGTGAATTAACATGAACTAATAATTAAAAAATTAGAAATAACTGATTTCAAAACATTTTTTTAACTGGTGAAAATACTAGTGTTCTAATCATTTTGGCCACCGCTGAATATGTAAATACCAAGAACATTTAGATTCTCCATTACATTTAAAACAACAGAAGCTAGTGTGTGTGTGGGCAGTATGTTCAGTAAATAACGCGTCTGATGTTTGTCTTCTTCAGTCCAGAACTGTAACATCCGGTGCATGAACGGCGGGTCGTGTGCGGAGGACCAGTGTCTGTGTCAGAAGGGATACTCTGGAGCTCACTGCGGCCAGCGTAAGACTCCCAGAACCCTGCAGCACACACACAGATGCACACGCGGCAGACCGTAACTGTGTCTCTGTCTCCTCCTGTAGCGGTGTGTGAGTCCGGCTGTCTGAACGGAGGCCGATGCGTCGCTCCAAACCGCTGCCTGTGTAACTACGGCTTCACTGGAGCTCAGTGTGAGAGAGGTGAGACACGCCTAGTGTTCGCTTCAAAGATGTGCATGTGATGATTTAGAAAACCACAGACATACACATCAATAATAACTTCTTTTAGCATTCTTTTGGCATTTTGTTTCCTCTTAGAAGCCGGTTGAGGCCTGTTAGTGTGTGTACTTGTTTAAGTGAGTGAGTGAGTGAAGTGACATGTGGCCAAGTATGGTGTCCCATACTTGGAATTAGTGCTCTGCATTTAACCCATCCAAAGTGCACACACACAGCAGTGAACACACACACACCGTGAACACACACCCGGAGCAGTGGGCAGCCATTTATGCTGCGGCGCCCGGGGAGCAGTTGGGGGTTCGGTGCCTTGCTCAAGGGCACCTCAGTCGTGGTATTGAAGGTGGAAGCGCTGTCCATCCCCCCCCCCCACCTACAATCCCTGCCGGTACGAGACTCGAACCCACAACCTTTGGGTTACGAGTCCGACTCTAACCATTAGGCCACAACTTCCCCTATGCTATTTATGCTACATTGTGGGGACCCTCAAGGATAGTAAAACTTGAAATTTTTGACATTGAGGGGACTGGCCTGGGTTTTGTCGTTTTGTCAGTATAAAAGTAATAGAAGTCTATGGAAAGTCCCCAGAATTCAATTTATAAATATATTCAAGTTTTAATAAATATAAGGACTTGTGAATGTATGTTAGCCATGTGTACCTGTATGAGGTCTGAAGTTTATAGAGTTTATACGACATTCACACAGGTGTGCAGCCGAGGAACCACAGGTGTAGAGAATCACAGTCACAGCAACATGATCAGAAACCCATGTGAAGCTCCGCCCACTCACCTGTGTGTCAACTGTTGTGCTAAAACTGGAGTTTGAGATGGATAGATATTCATATAGATAGATAGATAGACAGATATTCTGGTAGATGTCCAGTCAAACGGAACATTTATACATCTTTTTATTACTATTTTTATACTTATGATGCATGCCTTTTTAAAATGTTTTATTTTTTATACTTATGATGCATGCATTTCTCGAATGTTTTCTTTTTCTTTTTAAAAGCGATGCATGCATTTTAAAACATCTATTTATGACTATTTTTATACTTATGATGCATGCTTTTTAAAATGTTTTCTTTTTTAATTTTGTATACTTATGTTGCATGCATTTTAAAATTCACTATTCACTAATATAAAATTCATATCAAAATTCACAAATTTTTTTTTCATGGATAGCACTTTGAATTACCATTGTGTATCAAATGTTCTATGAACCATCCATGTACTTGACCCTGATCTGGTGGTTGTAAAGGGTTAATGGAGTCAAGCGTGTGTGTGATTCACACTCAGCTGAAGTCACATTTTTGTAAATGATTGTTAAATTGGATTTGTGTTAAAAGCTATGCATGCATTTTAAAACATCTATTTATGACTATTTTTATACTTATGATGCATGATTTTTAAAATGTTTTCTTTTTTAATTTTTTATACTTATGTTGCATGCATTTTAAAATTCACTATTCACTAATATAAAATTCATATCAAAATTCACAATTTTTTTTTTCATGGATAGCACTTTGAATTACCATTGTGTATCAAATGTTCTATGAACCATCCATGTACTTGACCCTGATCTGGTGGTTGTAAAGGGTTAATGGAGTCAAGCGTGTGTGTGATTCACACTCAGCTGAAGTCACATTTTTGTAAATGATTGTTAAATTGGATTTGTGCAGGAATGAGGTGCACAGAGAGCGCAGTGAACACAGACATTCCCAGAGATTTATTCAGCTGATGAACTGCAGGAGATCATGAATTCCATAATGAATCAAGCTCTGCTAATGCGGCCTGTGTGTGTGTGTGTTTGTGTGAGAGAGAGTGTGTGTGTGTTTGTGTGTGTGAGAGAGAGAGAGAGAGAGAGAGAGGGAGTGTGTGTGTGTGTTCGTGTATTCACTCTACGTTATGAGGACCAAATGTCCCCACAAGTATAATAATACAAGTCAATTTTGACCTTGTAGGGACATTTTTTGGTTCCCATGAGGAAACAAGCATATAAATCATACAGAATGAAGTTTTTTGAGAATCTCAAAATGCCTGTAGTTTTCTGTGAGGGGTAGGTTTAGGTGTAGGGGTAGAGTAAGAGGATAGAAAATACAGTTTGTACAGTAGAAAAACCATTACGCCTATGGAGAGTCCCCGTCATGTTGGGAATACGAGTGTGTGTGTGTGCAAATGTGAGTGTGTGTGTATTTGTATGTGTGTGATTTTTATTGCTCCCAGATGTTGAGCAGTGCAGGGAGTGTCCCCTTCAGACAAACACACACACACACACACACACACACATGCAGGGTGTTCCCAGTGTTCAGATGAAGCAGCAGTGAGTTGATCAACACTGTAAGAACATCAGCGATGTGAGACTTGTGATCGTTCCTCATGTCATTCATTTTTCATTATCTAATTCACTGCTAGTATAAGTATAAATTAAATATTCATTGTTTTAAATGATTAATAATATTTATTTTTAACCTTATAAACAAAACAGCATGTTCAATAGTATATCAGTTTTATTGGAGTATTATAATTGGAATTATCACATTTTATTGGTTTTGAAATATTGTATTAGCCCAGTTAACAAAAATATGTTCTAAGAACGTTTTGCTAACGTTCCCATTAAGTTATGAAAACGTTATTTCTTACTGTTCTAATATTTTAAATGTTTTAAAAACTAAATTTAAAAAAAATGAATGTTAAGGGAACATTTCATTGTATCAGTTTAATCATTATGTTAATATTACTTTTGAATATTCTCTTTGAGTAGAAACATTAAAAAAAACGTTAAATGAATATCTAACTAAAACGCTTCAGAAAAAACATTCCATGAACAATGTATAAACGTTTTCCTGAAAATGTTTTGAGAACGTTATTAAAGTTGTTCTGTTACCGTTACTGGAAGAAGGTTTGCTCAGAACATTCAGAGAACCTTGGCAGAACGTTCAGAGAATGCTCCCTGTTAGACGGGAGTGTGTTGGCATGTTACAACTACTGAAATGTGACCCTGGAGCACAAAACCAGTCATAATTTCATACATTCATCATCCATACATCATCTAAGAGCTGAATAAATAAGCTTTCCATTGCTGTATGGTTTGTTAGGATAGGACAATATTTGAAAATCTGGAATCTGAGGGTGCAAAAAAATCTAAATATTGAGAAAATCATCTTTAAAGTTGTTCAGATGAAGTTCTTAGCAATGCATATTACTAATCAAAAATTAAGTTTTGATATATTTACGGTAGGGAATGTACAAAATATCTTCATGGAACATGATCTTTACTTAATATCCTAATGATTTTTGGCATAAAAGAGAAATGTATAATTGTGACCCATACAATGTATTGTTGGCTATTGCTACAAATATCCCCCAGCGACTTAACACTGCTTTTGTGCTGCAGGGTCTCAGATGTCATGTAAACAAAGTGTTGCATCAGTGTGTTAAACATGTTCTGTGTGTCTCCAGATTACAGGACGGGGCCATGTTTCGCGTCGGTCAGTAACCAGATGTGTCAGGGTCAGCTGACGGGAATCGTCTGCACTAAGACACTGTGCTGTGCGACGGTGGGACGGGCCTGGGGTCATCCGTGTGAGCAGTGTCCAGCACAACCACACCCCTGCCGCCGCGGCTTCATTCCCAACCACCGCTCCGGGGCCTGTCAGGGTGAGACACACACACACGCACACTCCCTCATACACACACACACACATGTCTGGTTTGCTATCCTTGTGGGGACTCTCCATAGGCGTAATGGTTTTTATACTGTACAAACTGTATATTCTATTGCTCTACACCAACCCTACCCCTAAACCTTTCTGCATTTTTAGATTTTCAAAAAACTAGCTTTCTGTGTGATTTATTAGCTTGTTTACCCGTGGGGACCTCAATTTAGGTCCCAACCATGACATGAGTCCCCATGAGTCTGTATTCAGGTTTCACTCCCCACCAGAATAAAAAAACAGGTACACTCACACACACACAGACTCACACACACAGACTCACACACTCACTCACTCACTCACTCACTCACTCTCACACACACAGACTCACACACTCACTCACTCACTCCCTCACTCACTCTCACACACACAGACTCACACACTCACTCACTCACTCCCTCACTCACTCTCACACACACAGACTCACACACTCACTCACTCACTCCCTCACTCACTCTCACACACACAGACTCACACACACAGACTCACACACACAGACTCACACACACACACACACACACTCACTCTCTCTCTCACACACACACACTCACTCTCACACACACATACACTCTCACACGCACGCACGCACACACACACTCTCTCTCTCACACACACACACTCACTCTCACACACACATACACTCTCACACGCACGCACGCACACACACACTCTCTCTCTCCCACACACACACACACACACTCTCTCTCACACACACTCTCACACACACACACACACACACTCACACAGACTCACACACACACAGACTCACACACTCACTCACTCACTCACTCACTCTCACACACACAGACTCACACACGGACTCACACACACACACACACACACTCACACAGACTCACACACACACAGACTCACACACACACTCACTCACTCACTCACTCTCACACACATAGACTCACACACAGACTCACACACACACACACACACACTCACTCTCTCTCTCACACACACACACTCACTCTCACACACACTCACTCTCACACGCACGCACGCACACACACACACACACACACACACTCTCTCACACACACTCTCAC